TTATCACAAAAGAGTCAAAAGGTTAAAAAATGTTATAGTAAGGTAAGGTTAATTATTGATAAAAAAATTTTTAAATGAATTTAGTGTAACCTAAGTGTACAATGTTTATAAAACCTGTGGTAGGGTACAGTAATGTCCTAGGTGGTCACATTCAGTCACCCCTCACTCACTGACTCACCTAGAGCAACTTGTAGTACTGTAAGCTCCATTCATGGTAAGTGCCCTATAGAGGTATACCCTTTTTTATCTTACATACCGTATTTTTACTGTGCTTTTTCTGTGTTTAGATATACAAACACCATTGTGTTACAGTTGGCTACAGTATTCAGTACAGTAACATGCTATACAGGTTTGTGGCCTAGGCTATACTGTATAGCCTAGGTGTGTAGTAGGCTATACCATCTAGGTTTGTGTAAGAACACTGTAGGTTGTTTGCACAATTATGAAATGGCCTAATGACACATTTCTCAGAACACATCCCCATCATTAAGTAATACATGACTGTACTTGATACAGAGTACAGTTGACCCTTGAACAACATAGGGGCTTGGGGTGCCAACACTCTGTGCAGTTAAATCTGAATATAATGTTTGACTCCCCCAAAACTTAACTATTAATAGCCTACTCCTGTGTTTGTTTTTTGTTTTGTTTTGGGTTTTTTGATAGCCCAGACATGAGCTTGTATGGTATTAGGGAAAATCATGCTGTCTATTTGTACATGAGGCATAAAACATGAAATTCAAGCAATTAGGCACATTTGGGATTTTGAGAATGAGAATTGTGTAGCAGTGGCTCTAAATCTTATCTACTATTTAGGTCTTTTCCTTAACTGAAACCTACACTGCCAACTACTCACTATTTATTTTAGTATCTCCGTGATCACTATTGTGCCTTACTGTGTAGCTAATATATTGAATACTTTGTGATAGAACTATACTACATTTACATGGATTCTCCAATTTTATTCACACGAAACCCCTGTGAGGTACATGTTGTTTTATCACCTTTGTTTTTGCAAACAGGAAAACCATGGCAGGAGAATTT